GATTAGGGCATCTCTAGATGGCCGGAAATTACACTCTCACACTTAAATTTGAATGTATTTTTCTTTTTTTTTTCTTAAAAAAAAATGAAGGGAGGGGGTGGCGAGCCTTGAATCCTCTGCTCAAAACATTCCTTATCCAGAATAGTCATAATCACGAAAAATTGACATGAAAAACAAGATCGACATCCTAAAAACATCAGGAGCCGACTCGATAGAGTTTAATGTCATACCCAGGGAAGGGCAAAGATCTGTTTTGAAAGGTGGCGGGGGAGGACATTTTGTGAGTCAACACGCACCTCAGACCCACCATGGTTCCGGAGCCATAGAGAATGGTGGAGCTGAGGTGAGAAAATTTGAGGAAACAGTACCTCTAGATCGACGTTCCGCAAACTATGGTCCGCGGCCCAAATTTGGCCGCGAAACATTTTTAGAGGGCCGCGAAGCCGTCTGGAAATTGAAAAAAAATAACAAAGAGACGTTTTATCATGGAGAAAATAGTTTTTAATAAAGCCGCTTCACTGTTACAGCGAATGAGTCGCTTTCACACGCTGCTAAAGTGCCAAATGATGTGTGCTATTTGAATAATTATAAGCGGTTTTGTGTCTATGCCTACTCGGGAGCCTTTATCTGTATATTTATTCCTGATAGTGCTAGTATGCAACATTATTTTCTATAAATAAATATACTGTAAATATACCTTTTTTAAGCATTAAATACATGTCAAGCGCGGATCCAGAGTTTACCCTGGCTCGCACAGATGGCTTCCCATATTGGCTAGCTAGCTTGTTTTGTCGCTGGAAGATAAATTTTAGATATTCGAAAAGTTTTTGTTTTCTAGATTCTTTGAAATACACTTCGTGCATTATGAGACGTCTATTATTGAATACACCCTGAATTCATATTTTTTCACTACTTTGCTATGGACAATTAATAATTATGATGATGAAGAAGATGATGATGATGAAAAGGAAGTTGTGCAAGATTAATTAACAGGCCCTTTGTTGTGAAGTGTCAAGCGAGGCCGGTAGCCAAGTTACGGTTGGGAATGTTCAATGCACACAGTCGGACAATGATGATTTATGATATCTGGATTTGTATATAATAATCTGAAACCTGTTTTGTATAATAATCTGAAACCCATAAAATATCAGTTCAGGTATTCATTTATCTGTATGGGGAAAATATAACATATGGACCATACAAAATAAAAAAGAATTCAAATAAAATTTGCTTTATGTTGTTTGTTGAATGAATTTCTTTAATAATAATATTACAGTCTAATATGACCACAACATAAGGAAGTCCATTCTGTAAATGTTTAGCATTAAATGTTTACAGAGAATTTCGATTGTTTATGAATATCATCATGTTAGATCTAAATCACGTTTTATGCAAGCATCGACAAAGAAAGATTAAACATAATAATTTTGATATGTACATGTTTTATGTTATGTGTTAATAATATTACAGTTTAATGGCTTAATGTTAATAATATTACAGTTTAATGGTTTACAATAATATTACAGTTTATTGGCCCCAGAAACCTGAACCCCGACCTGGGGCCCTTGGCGGCCCCATAGCCCTAATCATCAGTGCTCGCGCTTCGCTTGCAACCTGACCATTTCACTTCTCGTGGCTACAGCCCTGTTATGACGTTGAACCGTGTTTGGTTGAATCATGGTAGAAAGAAAAAACAATCAACAATTGTCGGAGGGGGGCGGGAAGAAACTGGGGAAACACAAATGTATGGTATTATTTATTTAATAAAATAATATTTAATTTGTA